GCCGCGACTCCGTCAGACGGCGCCCCGACGCTGGTACCGTCGGACGGACCGGTCGGTCGGGCCACCAGTCAGCCTCCAGTGAGCCAGCAGCTCTCTCTCTCCCTCTCGCTCGCTCTCTCGCGTGCACGTAGGGAGCGCGCGCGCGCCCTCGCGCTCTCGTTCAGGGATTCACGGACTGTTACGGTGTTAGGCGCGCGCGCGTCGGTGTGTACCCGTGTTTCCATGCGCACATGCACACCACACTCTCCTCTCTCTCTCTCTGTCTCTCTCCCACGCCTTCTTTCCCACCTCGTTCGCCCTCACTCCGGCCGCCGCGTTTCTCCGTCCCGCGATCCTGCGAGGAGTCTCTATCCAGCGAACGACACGAGAGGGAGTCCGAGTTCCTGGCTCGTCCCTCGCGGCTGCAGTGCGTTCCCAAACATCCACGAGACAACCTCGAAGTGTCCGCACCGTACGCACGCACCACGCACGCAACCGATCGTACAGTAGCCACGAGGATCTAACCGATCGATCCTCCGAGGCTTTGATTATTTCCACCGATCTCGGACGTTCAAACTCGACGACAGCCTTTTTCACCGAGGAATGTCGTGACACTTGGTAAAAATCGACGAACCAGGATCCTTCCCCATTGTCGTTTCAACTGGCCCGTCTAGCACGAGTGACACACTGGTGGAATCTTGTTAACTCCTTGGACCGTTGTCGATCACCCGGAGAAAGGAGGATCTGCGAGTCGACGTTGTTCGTAGCTTGAGTTTCCCGCGCGTGTTTTTCGTGTGCTGTGCATCGGGAGGAACGGTGGGAATCGTGTGTGTCGAGAGAGGACCTCGTGACCACGGATGACGCGACGAAAAGGATCGTCGAGAGCTGTACAATCCTAGATCCGGCGATCTAGAATCTTCCGAGGAAGATCGAAAGAGAGAGAGGCAGAGAGTGGAAGCGTTTATTAACCTAGATCGAACGTGAAAATGACGTTGTTCTGAGGGACAGTGGGGCAAGGATAACGATAGAGGATGGGAAATGCGTGGAACGATGACGCACGGAGGATGTCGAGAATGGAGAAGCTAGCAGCGTGACCAAAGATCTTCGCTCCAGATCCAGATAGCCAGGAAGCTGAGAGCGTGTACGAACAGGGGGAATAATCGAGACGTCTCCTTCCTCTGGGGAACATTGCCGATTAGCTGACGTGTGAAGTTGGTGCGGGAATACGAGGAACACACGTCTGTGCGTGGATGAATCCTGTTGATCCAGGAGTGTGAGAACGAGGCAGAGAGGATTAAAGGACTAGAGCAGGCGGGAGGGCGTATATCGACGAGTCTCGAGCGTGTAAATAGGTGTACAGAGAGAGAGAGGGTCGAGGACGTCTAATTCGCGTTCTTCTTTTTCCTATATACCCTTTCGACGCGTTCTCCACCATCTCGAGTATTCCTTTTTTCCGTTACCCATCTACGAGCGAGCCGTCTGACTCTCGTGTCGAGACTGTAACGTTAGAACGTCTAAGTATCGTCGTCGATTAAAAATCAAAAAAAAAAAAAAAAAAAAAAAAAGAAAAATATTCTCGAGCGGCTACGCTCAGAGTTTCTACCCCTAGATTCTACAAAAGTGCAAATGTGAGTGTACCGGAAAAAATCCATCGTCGCGTGTGTCTGCTGTGAGTGGTTAGCAATTAGTGTGATAGTAAATAAATGAACAACGATGTCAGTCCGTCGCTCGATTTTCGTTTCGTCGCGCGCGTTCTGAACTTTCTGTTCTAAACGGATCCTCGTTTGTTTCTAACGGGACGTGTGTGTGTGCCTGTGTGCGTGGACAACACACGAGCGCGATCGTACACGAATTCTCGTGCATAAACCAAGTCGCAAGTCGGAGCAGTACGGGTATAATATCCAAAGCGCTTAAGCCTTTCTTAGCTAGCACAGTGGCTAGCGCGATAATTAATCGGCTCGCGGACGACAGACGAGCGGTAACCGTGAGTCGTCGCGTAGGGAAATTCGCGTGGAGAACGAAATTTTAACCAAGTCTGAAAGGAGAAGAAGGAGGAGAAGGAGTAGAGGGGAAAAGCTTCGAAGTTGCTCGCTTAATTCGAAGGTGTCTGAGCCATTGGTGTCGAGCTTTAATTTAAGAAGAAGGTAAAAAAGGGGGACCAATTTTTCACGCTCGTTCTCAATCTCTATATCTCTTCCTTCTTTTCACTCGCTCACACTATCTCTCTCTCTCTCGTTCTCTGTCTATCCGTCTATTTCTCTCGCTGTCTCTCTGTTCGTTTCCCCTATCTAGCCTTTATCTCCTTAATCCAGCGAACCTGGGACTATCCATAAATCTCTCTCTGTACGCCCTTTCCGTATTAAATTCCGTCATCGCGAGACCTTTCGCCCGGGAATACGAAGGAGTCGCAAACTCACGCAAGCAATAAATCAAGCGAGAAGGTGGTAAATCGTGTAACAAACACCTTCCGCTCGAACCACCCGAAATATCAGATTCTAAAAGATCTCGGTCCAAGCCTACCATCTCCTAGTGGAACTGTCGTTTGAACCAAGACGAAGAAAGTAGGGCGTATAGTGTAACAGGTAGAACGATATCTCTCGAACAAAGAGGGAGAAAAGCTGAAGTAGCCGCTCGGAGGAATTATCCTAGCAAAGGCAGCTATCCGCCACACAGCCATTGTCCGGTTTGACGACGATGACAACATCCTGAAACGGGCATGACGCCTCTGGCCTCGAGATGCGACGAGACCACTACCATCCTGCTGTTGCTACTACTCGAGCTGGCACCTGGTGCACGCTGTTACTCGCGCGCCTCGGCCCCCACGTCCGCCCCGACTTCGTCGAGATAGCATCTACAGTCGACGGCGAGGGTGCGAGTGATGCCGCTCCTCGACACCATTATGACCATCGACGCCGGCGGTAGTCCGACAAAGGCGTCCACCACCAGCGTCTTCGAGGAGAACATGACGTGGTCTCGACCAACACTCGGCGGCTCCACGTCTTCCACTAATCTAACCGACGACGAACAGCTACTGCTTCGACTCGCTGCTGCTTCGACGACGACGACGACACCGCGCGCCGTCGACCAAGGACCAAGTGAACGTACAGCTGCCACAGGGAACAACAAGACTAACAACGACACCAGCGTTGAGGTGGAGGAGGAAGAGGAGGGAGTTAGTAGCGGTGAAGGTGACTGTGCTTGCGTCAGATCGAATCTACCGTCAGGGACCAGACTGCCTTTCCTCGAGGTAGACGTGATTACAGGCGAAGGTAGCACGGTAACAGCTTTCGAGAACAGCACAGGTGTCGAGGCGAACGTCACCCAGGAAGAAGACGCGGAGGGACTAAGGGAGCTCGAACTGCTGTTCGGTCTAGGTGGCATGATGGAGGACCTGGGTGGTACGTTCAACAACTCCTTCAACGAGAGCCTCGAGTACGCTTGCAACGGTAGCCTGTGCAATGAAACCACGTACAGAGTGTACGGGGAGAGTTTGTATCCATCGGGATACACGCTGCCTCAGATCATCCTCGCGTCCATCCTAGCGACGCTGTTGATGATCGTGATAGTCGTTGGTAACATGCTGGTGATCATAGCCATAGCAACGGAGAAAGCGTTGAAGAATATACAGAATTGGTTCATAGCTAGCCTAGCTGTGGCCGATTTCTTTCTCGGTCTGGTGATCATGCCGTTCTCACTGGCCAACGAGATCATGGGCTACTGGATCTTCGGTTATTGGTGGTGCGACATTTACTCCGCCATGGACGTGCTCCTGTGCACCGCTAGTATCATGAACCTGTGTCTGATCAGCTTGGACAGGTTCTGGAGCATCACGCAAGCGGTGAAGTATCTGAAGAAGAGGACTCCCGCTAGGGCTGCTTTGATGATCGCTCTTGTGTGGCTACTGTCAGCGCTCGTTTGCATTCCTCCGTTGCTCGGCTGGAAGAGACCAACTCCCGCCGAAGAGTATCCCAAGTGCAAGGTAAGAAACTTCGTCTCTGGTGTATATTCTCTCTCTCTCTTCATAGAATTTTCATACAATTTATTCGCGACAAACATGGGTGGAGGAACAATGGGGCTGTGAAGAAACCGATGAAACACGTAGGAGACAATTATTTTACTAACCGGTTCGACGTTTAAACCACAATTTACTCGGACGAGGAGTGCGGAGGCGAGCACAATTCACGAGTTAATTATTATCCACGAAACCTAGGCACCCGTTGCAGATGACAGATTACGGGGTCGTGTTTAGCCTCTATAAGACACGGGGGGAGAATCAAGGGACGGAAAAGAGGCAGAGGAGCTAAGCTTGGCGATCCTGCGAATAACTATCGCCAGCTTTCTCTCTCCCTCCGCGTTTATCTTCCTTGAAACGGGGATCGTTGCGTTACTTGACCGTATAATTCGTCCACTTATCGCGGTGAAATCTCTCGATCGACCGCTTAATTACTTCCAGCCAGGTGAATTCATTGTTCGATCGCTGGGAGGAGATCTCACACGGAGGGGAGAGAGGGGGGGCGAAGTAGAATCAGAATTCAAATTTATCGGATCGGCTCGAGTTTATTCCACGATCGCGTAAGGTTAACGGGTTGCATTGTAAACCCCCTTGAAATCCTAGCTGCCTTTTGACGTCGAGCTCCGCTGCTCGTTATCTCCGGCGCAACGTCGAGCTGTCTGTTACGCGACGACTACCGATCCACCAACCGCTTCGGATGCTAAGTACACGTTCACGTCGACGTGATTTGAAAGGCATTCAAATCATTTTTAAACGCGCTCAATGCCTGACGTGTCTTCCACGTTGTCCGCCGTGATGTTGACTCCTTTCGACACAATGTGCGGTAGATCTGCCAGTTTCGCCTAATTGTTGGTAGTTCGTTTAATTTCTTTTACACAAGATTCTTTATACGTCCTGACATCTCTTTTTCTTTATTAAGGCACTAGGTTTACGGGCATTTCTCATATACCTGTTTCTACGGACACGTGTCGAATTGGCGTGTGAACGAAACCGCACATTTTCTTTAAAAGCAACACATTATACACTATTAACTTATACGCAAAACTATGTGATATTATATATTTATATCAAATTTATAATATGCATAAGTGGTAGGTGTAAGGGCTATCTGGTCTAAATAATACTTATCGATCCGTCCGTCGTTTGCGCCTCGTTCCTTTCTGGTCCGCCCTTATCAACTACACGCTTCCTAATTCGTTCTAATACAATCTCTTACATTCTTATTTAACGTGTCCTTATATACGTGCCTTGGCGCCCCTCTCTTGCCTCCGGGAAACCCTGGCACAAGTTGGGGGTTTCCTTACTTGACCCAGCCCTTAGCGCATGCGGGTGTCAAGGCGTTGGGACCTCTCGGTTAACGTGTCCTTATATACGTGCCTTGGCGCCCCTCTCTTGCCTCCGGGAAACCCTGGCACAAGTTAGGGGTTTCCTTACTTGACCCAGCCCTTAGCGCGTGCGGGTGTCAAGGCGTTGGGACCTCTCGGTCTGCGGGTCATAAACCAGCGCGAGTCCCAACACTCGCTCGACCATACTCTTACATAGGAGAGAAATTTCAAAGGTTTCCTTGTGAAATTCGAAATGCGTGAAAATCACGCGTCCCGTAAACCTAGTGTTAAGGAAAGCCTGGTTGATAAGAAACGAATTAGGATTGAACGACGCTATTTTTTTCAACCGTTAACAAATTTTATTCCGATGTCACAACGAGTTTGGTCGCGAGACAGATCTTTTTTCGGAGTGTTGTGTCATTTACGGGAAAGTTGGAGAGGCTGTGGTTATGGGTGTGTTTTGACTGTTTCGTGATTGGCGGAAAGTTTGGAAAATTTGGTTAACGGGAGGGAGTGACGAATAAAGTCATAAATGCGATAGAGCTGGTGAAACATATTTTCTGAAGGTTTCAAAGTTAAAGCGACATCGGTTGGCCTTATGGGTTCACTGCTGCTACTAGCTCGTCTAATTGTAGGGTTTAGGAATTTCCGAGGAATCGTTTTGAAATCTAGAAATTTTGAAATCTATTCAACTGCAATTTCTTTAGTAGGTAAAGCGTTCAAACGACTTCACCGAGATAAGATAGGATAGCCTTCTTACAATAATTTCTATTTATGGAATATTTGCGTTTCTTTGTACCTCGGCTAGCAATATGAGGAGTTTTAATCAAGAGCAACCCTCTGTATAGCGGTGTTGAAATTTTAATCCGTTCGAATGAAATTCCTTGGAAAAGAAATGAACAAAAGGGTTGGAATTCTCATTTTTTACGATTCCGCGGTGAACACGTTTCCAGAGGAAGCGTAGGATAACCAAAAAGTCAGAGTCCTCCGGAGTAGAGGCAATTTCCAAGCGAACTATTTTCACGGTGTATCATGTGGCGGTCACGCGAGAACACCAGAGAACACGGTGGACAAGGGAGTGAGAGGTATCGGGCGGTCGCCTTTTATGCAGCAGCGAAACCCACCCTTATCCTCAACCCCTGCAAACCAGCTTACGTTCGCCTCTACAAAACGCCGTGCAAGATTGGATTTCTATGCTCGACACTTTGCTCGGCGACGCTCACTCCTACAACTCTCTGTGTCATTTTTCCCCCATTCTTGTTTCCTACGAAATCAGGATTTCGTTTCAATGGAGACTCCGGCTTCTGTGTTCTGATCGACGGAACGGTACCCTCCATGTGGTGCAAAGTTGAAATTGGATAGAAAAATTGTGTAGACACGCTCGCCTCTCGGGTGAACCTTTTCGATCTTTCGGTTAAACAGATGCAAACTGCTTGGGAAGAATAATTTTAACCCTTTGATGACTGTTGGTTAATTCGAAAGTGTAGCTTTGATAGGAGGAATATTTGATAAAGAAAAGATTCAGGACGAAAATACTCGATTTTCCAGTTAAAGAGATTTGAGCTCTTGAGAAAAAGTAATTTAACCCTTTGACTGCTGGTAAATTCGAAAGTAGGTATAGATTCAATAGTCAGAGTATTTTGACTAACTCTGAAGCATCCTATAGACTCTCTCAGTTCTGATAAAGCAAAGATTCACACCGAAAACAATAAATTTTCCAGTTAAAGAGACTCGAGCTATTCAGAAAAAATAATGTAAGCCTTTGATGACTGTTGGTGCACTCGAAAGTATAGCGTTAATATTCAGAATATTTCAGGTAACTTTGAAACACCCTATAGTCACTCTCAGCTCTAAAAAGGCAAAGATTCACGAGGAAAAACACTCAACTTTTCAGTTAAAGAGATGTAAACTCTTGTGAAAAAATAATTTAACCCTTTGGTGAATGCTGGTAACTTTGAAAGTATAGCTTGAACATTCGGAATACTTCAAGAATCTTTGAAACACCCTATAGATAGTCACAGCTGTGAAAAGGCAAAGATTCGCGACGAAAACGCGTCCACTGCGAATTTCTGTGTGAAGAGTGGTTCTCCTGGACGTTCCAAGGAACACGGCGGTTTATCGTTCCCATTGATCACGTTGTTTGCCGCTAATTGGAAGGCTCCGCGCAACCAGGCTTAATTAAGCCTCGCGCTCGCGCGTGCCCATGACCGGAACTCGAACTTTTCTTTTTTTTTATATATATACCAGCAACGAAATTATCGAAATTTCTCCGGCGAAATTCGGGAAACTAGGCAACCGTCGTCAATACGAACATCGAGAGACTTTTCGCGGGGCTACCTGTTGTCGACGCGCCGATTCCGGCCGCCGCGATGCTAATAACCCTGAAGGATGGATGGCGGGAAAAGGTTTCGTGTTTCCCTCGTTAACCGCTTCTAGGCCAGCACGACCTTTTGTTGCCTTAACGACGCCGCATCGCGGTATCGTGTTCCGTTCGTTTCAATTTCGAAACATTTATGCATGCTTTCCGCGCCTGATATCCGAAAACTGACCTCCTTTGAATTTTTTTCTTCGCGAAACGAAAGAAGATACGAATGCAGAATTTTTTGCGACGCGTTTGCTAACATTTCCGGAGTCTGATAATATTTTCTTCGTCCTCCTTTCATTTCATTTCTGCTAATTAGAGAAGTTTCAGTTAGACGTGATCTTTGAATGCGACATACGATGATTAAAAAAATTATTGCTGTTGAAGTATTGTTTCTACACAAATGAAATTGGTATATTCTTGAAGTCTATGAAATTTGTGACAATTTGGGTGTAAATTTGATGAATAAAATTGAAAATTGACAAAATGACGGGCTTTCAAAGTTGAAAAACGTTCTACGCAGCTTAAAGGTATAGTTGGTGGAAGAAATGTAGCGAGCTCATAAATTAAAGCACGAAATAGCAGTACCAGAAGTCAGCCTACGATATTTTACGTACTTAAATTAAAACTGAGTCAAATGTAAGACTAAAATTTTGAATCCTCATCTTCTCAACATTCTCTCGATTATTTCTTTCACACGCTATACCAAAACTGCGAAAAAACACTTCCGCTCGTTTAATCCCGTACACCATAACCTTCCTCGATGCTATTCTCTCTCTTCCAAGCTGCCACGAACGAAGATAACTTGTTGCAGATTTCTCGTTCGAATAAACGTCGACAGGATGTGCAAAGAGCCGCGTTTCGGTGAAAATAATCGCGTTCCCTCCTCGAACGAAGTGTGCCGTGACACGGCGAGTTATTACGTGCACGCAAGTCACGAATTCCTCGCGAGTGTAACTGGAAGTCGGTGCAAAGGAGGCAGAGTAGATGAAATCGTGTGACAGGGAACAGGACGTCGCGCGACGCGGAATCAAGGGTTAAGCTTATCGCGCTAAGCCGCGCGTGTTGACTCAAGTCGGCATTAAGTTCGCGCGATACGCCAGGCTTTCCTCCCGTGTAAAATCCGCCCATTAAGCGATGGGTACGTGTAACGGGAGAACAACAGAGCGTGTCGCCGATGTGATGCTTTCTTAAGACGATTTGTTACCTCTTGGCTGCTATTAGGCGAGAATCTCGGGTGGGGAGAAGGGCTCGGTGTGTTTTTGAGCAGTCTTTTTGCG